TCCTAACTAGTTTTACGGACCAGGGTCTACTCCACTCAGTTCAGTGGAGTTCGTGCCATGCACTTACAGGAGAGTTGTGTTCACGTTCTTGAAATGGTATGCTGTCGTTGTGCTTTGCATTTCTTTTAATACTTTGAATCTGGAGCTATAGAATTCACTGTCTTCAGAGGAACCACTTTCTTATGCTTAAGTGAAAGGAAAGGCAGCAGGGGCCCCTTCAGTCATGCTAATCTCATCACATGTATTTTTTATCATTAAAATGTTCCAGCAGGCTGGGCTCATGTGCAGGTGTAGAGCATGTGTAGAAGGCAGAACTACTTTCTGCTCAGTGCTTTTTACCATTTGGCTTTTTGCTAATTGAAGGAGAGGATGCTGTGTGTTCTGTGATTCTGCTAATCCAAATCACACAAAGAGGATAAGCATAGCTACTATTACTGCCTGTTCTCCACTGACCTGATGAGTAATGATGGGATGGAAGCGCTGAACTCCTTAACCAGACGACCCCCTCACTTTTCCCTTGACTTAGTTCCCATATGTGTCCCCATTTGTCTTAGAAGCTTGATTTGAAAAGGAAAGAAAGATGAGAAGGAAAAACGAAGGCACTCAGTTGCCAAGTATTTCCAGCTCATAAAGACGTATTATAGTTCTCTTGGCAGACCTCCAGAGATGCTACTTTGGACTGAGTGAAAGCTCACTTTGCTAATAGCTAGGTACTTGACAACTGGTAACTTTTTAGTTCTTCTGAATGTGATAGTATGGGTAATATCAACTGAATACAGAAATAGTTTAATCTGTAAGTTTTTCTTACACAGTGTTTCACTTCTTTTGCTGTTTCAGTCCAGGGCATTCAGGTTTGCTAGAACATTGGTAGACATGTATCATGCATGGCAGCATTCCTGCTTTAGACCCCCGCATTCAGCTCTGGTCAGCTGCTCATAGCTAAACTTCTAGTAGCAATAGTATGTTAGGAGAATATTCTTCCAAAATGTGATGGCACCTTTCTTTGGTTCAAGAGGCATGGCAAAATTTCTTTTAAGAACATCTTCAAGAGGAAAAGACTAATACAGCATATTGCCAGTGAAATGGAGTCTTGCATTAAGCTCTGTTTGGGCTCATCTTTCTCTTATATTGATTTGCCTACTGGTGTATAAAATTACACATTAAATATGTCCCAAGAGAAGAAGGCAGATGGCTCCAATTCCAACTCCTGCTCCATATCATCACAGGGCCAGTAGAGTCATGGTATATCCTTGGAAAAAACAACACTTTGCAATGCTGTTCCAAATTTTTCTGAACCGATACAAAATTCCTTGGAGAGAAAAACAAAAACCAAAATCATGGTTTATGGGGCAGGCCCAGATTGAAGCATAAGCTATGTGAGGTAACAACCCATCATTATTGTTTGATATCTAGAGCTCAGTTATATGAGGGCATGCTGATATGTACTGAGAATTTCCCAGAAAAAAATGAGCTAAGAAGCTGGAACTGCCACACTATTCTACATATTCCTGCAGCTTCTTAAAAGTAAAGGTTCCCCTTGACATTTAGTCCAGTCATGTCCGACTCTAGGTCGCGGTGCTCATCCCTGTTTCCAAGCCATCGAGTCAGCGTTTGTCCAAACACAGTTTCTGTGGTCACGTGGCCAGTGCGACTAGACAC